TCTAAGAAACATTGTCTTAAATGTTTGAAATTAATATAATATTAACAGAACTGGAAGTTGGCAAGAATTAATTATTTATACCCTTTACTTCAATTACACCATCTTCTGGGATATTGAAATTTAAAGTTTTGTATTAATTTACTTGATTATAATTAAATGCAAGTTCTAATAGAATACAAAGAAATGATTGTACATTAGAAACCGGAATATCTAATTAGCAAATGCTAGATAAAAAGATCTTAAAGCAAAATAATTAAAAGAATCCGCATTGGAAAGCCCAAATCTCAATATAAATACTATTTAGGCAAATACCATTTAGTGTTAATGTTGTTGTTGTGTTTACACACATCCACACACACATTCCAATGCTTTCATTTACTTTTCTCACTAAGCACGATGTTCATTTTGAAAGCCAGCAACGCCCACGCCCGATTTCATACGATCTCATGGTTCCATTGCAGCAACAGATCCACGCCCAGCAGGTGCCGGGCGGACCGCCACAGCCGATGGGTGCACTGAATCCGTTTGGCGCCCTGGGCGCCACCATGGGCCTGCCGCACGGACCGCAGGGTCTGCTGAACAAGCCGCCCGAACACCACAGGCCGGATATTAAGCCCACGGGTCTGGAGGGGCCAGCAGCCGCCGAGGAGCGATTGGTAAGTAGAGTCTGGGGTCTAGAGCCCCCTAGATATTTCTGCATATTTTGAGCTCATGTTTTAATGCTGATGTTGCAGCGCAATTCGGTTTCGCCGGCTGATCGTGAGAAGTATCGCACACGCTCGCCGCTGGACATCGAGAACGACTCGAAGCGTCGAAAAGATGAGAAACTGCAAGTGAGTATCGAGCTTTTCTTTCGGTGTTAGCATTTATACACTGTCTGCTAATAGTAGTATCATCCATACATCCATCATCGCGTTGAAATAACCGATAACTGTCATCTCATCTGAGCTGTTGCTGTCTCTCAACTCACCAAAAAAAAAAGAACCCAAAATCTCGTAGTCTTATCCATGTTGTTCTGCTAACACTCTCCCAAAAATCATGCTAAACAAAAACTATATTGCTAATTTATAAGAGACAAGACTGAAAAAATGCCATGCCTAAAATCAATTATCACGATTTTAGGGTGCCTGTTCCGGTTTTCACTTTCTCGTAATTATTTTGAATTGAAGGGTGTTCTGGAAAAATACTTATATTTATAAATATTACCATTAACATTGCAGTTAATTAGACACTAAAAAAATTTTAACTAATTAACAAATATTTAATGAGTAAATAAATTCTATGTAATTTAAATAATCAATAATATTATAAAGTAACTATTTTTTTATTAACTTGAGATTTGATAAATAAAATAGTTAAAATTATTAACTTAAAATCATAAAACCATTTGTTTATTATCCAAAATTAGTTAATTTGATCCTACAATTATAAACGTTATTTATGGCCAATACTTAGTCCAACTAACAGCTGAAAATCTGAACTTCCCAACCAAATAGTATATATTTATCAGGCAATAAATCTGCACAAGGTAGTTAACATTTTTATTTTACAACAAAGAAAATAAGTGAAAACCAGAACCAGCCTTAATTATTAATTATTAGTTACTAACTATTGCTATTGTGGTTGTTGTTATTGCTGTTGTTGTTTGTGGGTTTTTGTATGAATTTTGATTTATATTGTTTTTGTATTTTTTTCAAAATTATTTCCAGGAGGATGAAGGCGAGAAAAGCGATCAAGATTTAGTCGTAGATGTTGCAAATGAAATGGTGAGTTGAGTGTCGGCGCCCAGATTCAATGCAACCATCCCAAAAAAAATCCCAAAAAAAAAGAAATGAAACCAAAACCACACCTTTGCTATAAAATCACTTTAAAAATATTACTAAAAAAATGTATATGTGCCTTGCAGGAATCCCACTCACCGCGCCCAAACGGCGAGCACGTGTCGATGGAGGTGCGCGACCGGGAAAGCTTGAATGGCGAGCGCCTGGAGAAGCCCAGCAGTAGTGGCATCAAGCAGGAACGTCCGCCCTCTCGCTCCGGCTCCAGTTCGTCACGTTCCACACCCAGCCTCAAGACAAAAGATGTGAGAAGAGTTTATCCCTTTACCCATAAAGTATCGCAAACTAATTAAATATCCTCTTTCCCAGATGGAAAAGCCGGGAACACCGGGCGCCAAGGCACGCACACCGACACCGAACGCCGCTGCTCCGGCGCCAGGCGTTAATCCTAAACAAATGATGCCGCAGGGACCACCGCCAGCTGGATATCCGGGCGCACCGTATCAGCGGCCAGCCGATCCCTACCAGCGACCACCGTCGGATCCAGCCTATGGACGACCGCCGCCAATGCCGTACGATCCGCACGCGCATGTGCGAACCAATGGCATTCCACATCCCTCGGCCCTGACGGGTGGAAAGCCGTAAGTTCTTTAAGGTTTATTATGAAAGTGTAGTTAGATTTAAACAGTACTTGAAGTAAGATTACTATAATTTTAAGTGAGGTTTTCAGACAGCACTTCATGTAAACGTATAATCAAGAAAGTGTTAAATGCACTGCACAATTGTATAGAGATTAGGAAAGGCAAAATGCTTATCACTTTTAAGTTTGCTCAGTTGCTTTCTATCGCTCCTTGCAAAAAGGTGCTTGAATTTGTCTGGAATGTAGTAATTTCTGAATTGTTTAATTCAATTCTATGTGGAATAAATTGAATGTTTTTCTAATTCATTTCGAATTGAATGAATGAATGAATAATTTTTATGAAATTTTTGAATTTGCCAATTTTTTTTATGCTTTCTTTTGAGAACAAAAAGTGGAAAATATTTAACAAATCAATGTTAACTGCATGGTAAATAAAATTCAGGCAGATTTAATCACAATATTATGGCCCTTTCTTCTTCATTTATTCATTCAATTCTGTTAAACTCAAACTTCAAATTCATTAAATTCTATTAAACTCAAAATTCAAATTAGTTCATTTATATACAACAAAAAAATCAAAATAATTTATTGAATCCATTCATGCAGGGCTCTACTTTCTATCGCTCATTGCACAAAGGTGCTTGAATTTGTTTAAGATGTAGAGCAAAAGGAAAATAGGTTATTGAGAAATTAGCTTTATAAGCAACAGTTACATAAAATCAATTGTGTTATCATTAAAACTGACTCTATTATCTCCTTTTCAGGGCTTACTCTTTCCATATGAACGGCGAGGGTAGCCTGCAGCCGGTGCCCTTCCCGCCGGACGCGCTGGTGGGCGTTGGCATTCCCCGGCACGCCCGTCAGATCAACACGCTGTCGCACGGCGAGGTCGTCTGTGCGGTAACCATCTCCAATCCCACAAAGTACGTGTACACGGGCGGCAAGGGCTGCGTGAAGGTGTGGGACATCTCGCAGCCGGGCAACAAGAATCCGGTGAGCCAACTGGATTGCCTGCAGCGCGACAACTACATCCGCTCGGTGAAGCTGCTGCCCGACGGCCGTACGCTGATCGTGGGCGGCGAGGCGTCGAACCTGTCCATCTGGGACCTGGCCAGCCCGACGCCCCGCATCAAGGCCGAGCTGACATCGGCGGCGCCCGCCTGCTATGCCCTGGCCATCAGTCCCGACTCGAAGGTGTGCTTCTCGTGCTGCAGCGACGGCAACATCGCCGTGTGGGACCTGCACAACGAGATCCTGGTCCGCCAGTTCCAGGGGCACACGGACGGCGCCTCGTGCATCGACATCAGTCCGGATGGCTCCCGGCTGTGGACGGGCGGCCTGGACAACACGGTGCGCTCCTGGGATCTGCGCGAGGGTCGCCAGCTGCAGCAGCACGACTTTAGCTCTCAAATTTTCTCGCTCGGCTACTGTCCCACAGGTGGGTTAATAATAATAACTTTTCTGTTTGTGAAATGGTTTTAACTGGATTTTATTTGTAATCCAGGCGACTGGCTGGCTGTGGGTATGGAGAACTCGCATGTAGAGGTGCTGCACGCATCGAAACCGGACAAGTATCAACTGCATCTGCACGAGAGCTGCGTTCTGTCGCTGCGCTTTGCCGCCTGCGGCAAATGGTTCGTTTCCACCGGCAAAGACAACCTGCTTAACGCATGGCGAACACCCTACGGTGCCAGCATATTCCAGGTGAGTTCTATAGCTTATAAACCATTTAATCAGAATTATAATACTCTTCTCTCTATTTCACCAGTCGAAGGAAACATCATCCGTACTTAGCTGCGACATATCAACTGACGACAAGTATATTGTGACGGGTTCGGGCGATAAGAAGGCTACTGTCTACGAAGTTATTTATTAAATCCACACAAACCAAGCAGTTTTTTCATTTTGTAATAAGCTCGTATAGTTTTTATTACAACACAATTAACTACATGCAAATAACAACAGAAACAACCAACAGCGGCAGCAGCATCGGCAGTAAAAAAAACAGAAAAACACGAAAGGCGGCAGTAGCAACGCATCAAAAAAGCGAAGCAAAAATGAAAATTCTATAATATATATACAAAAAAGGAAAACTAAAATTTTAAGCGTACTTGTAGCTACTAAGCCTAAGCTAAGTCCAATAAATAAAAACAAACCAACAAGTTGAACACACACAAATTGCAAGTAAAAAGTATAAACCAGAGCGAAATAAAATGATAATGCATGCGAGCAACAGAAACGAAACGAGAGTATGTTGTAAAATTAACAAAAAAGAGAAAAACCATAAACAGAAACAGTCGGCGATACCTACCTACGTTCATCTTAAAATAAAAACAAATAGAAGGATAAGTGGAATAGTCATTGCAATTGCAGGAGCAGAAGCAGAAGCGTTGAGATTATGATTACCAGCTGAGCAGAAGAGAGTTAATACGATGCGAGTGCTTTTAGTTTGTTTTTAATGTGAAAAGAAAGAAGGGTTTTTGTAATTTAGCTGACGAGTCAGACAGCGAATGCAACAACAAATGTAATTTTAAGTTGTCAGTTTCCTTACCTCCCAAGCACCCAGCACACCTATACACAAAACACACCCATACACAACATTTGCATAAAAGAAGGTATAAATATATAAATATAATTAAATATACTTAGTAAGCATTTTAGTTAAGAGTTTTACATTATAAATTAAAACACGGAAACAACTTTTTCAACACTCACTCGCATTGGGGGTCAGCTTTTGCTTGTAATTTGTAATTTGAAAATATGTAATTGAGGACAATGAGTGGATTAACTTGTGTGTGCGGCGTGTGAATCAAAACTCTTCAGAACCAAACTGTAAAATCCTATATTTTGAGCAGCTAAAAACAACGCATTAAAAGAGAACCCAAAACCGAAAAGTAGAACACACCGCTAAATTGTTTAGTGTTTAGAGTAAATATATAATGCGAACGGCGAAATTGTAATAAGCAAGAGATAGAGTGCAGCACACGCTTCGATTTTTAATTTTACAAATATTATTATTATTGTGGTTATATATGTATATAATTATATTATAAATAATTGAAGCAAAACGAAAAAATAAAAAATTATATGTAATCGAAAGTAAATCTCCATCATGGATTGCTTTTAAAATACATCTGTGGTGTAGACGCTTCGCTGGCGGGGCAATGGAGCTCCCTGTTGGCGGGACATTTTGGTGTGCAACTCTCTTAGTCCCTCGCATTGACGACCCGAAATCTGGCGGAACTTGTCGATGGCAATGGGCAGCAGGTTGTCCACCAGAAAGATCTTGTTCTTCATCACAAAGTTGGGCTGTAAAATAATGGTTTTTAAAAGGGAATTTTCTTAAATGCTTTGTAAAACTCACATCCACGGCCATATCGCTGGGTGGTTTCAATGAATGCTGGGCAATAAACAGCTCTTTTAGTAGAAGTTCCAGACTCTGTAGGAGTGTTTCGCACTTGGCCAAACAGCCGCAGTACTCGGTGAGCTGCAGAAAGTGCCGGATAAAGACCACCGTGGACTGGGTGAGGTTTATCCAGGTATCCCCAGTGGCCTGGGCCCGCACATCGATGCCCAAGACATCCAGTTCGAGGAGCAAACGCTTCAGATTCGACTTGGTTTGCAGGTTGTACGGCTGCCAGCTCTCCTCAGTGCGACCCACGGAGTCCAGCAGTCGCTCCTTGGACTCCTCTATGAGTGACTCTAAAGTGGTGCGTAAAAGACCCTCCAAATGGTAGCTAATGTCCAGCCCAATCTCCGTAAGCTTCGTCGACGGCTTGCGCACTCGCTCCACGCATTTGGCCACCGACTCCAAAGAGGTTCCTTTGGTCAGGTAGTGTTTGATTAGCTGGCTGGCAAAGTACTGCAGCTCGGCATTGCACCAGACCACAAGGGCTGCAAGAATTAAATGGGTTAGAAAGGATTTCAATAGGAATATAGAGTAGAGCCCTGCGTGAATCATTCAATTTATGTTTTAACATAGTAGGCCATGAAATTTCTGATTTGTTTAATTCAAATCTATGTGAAATAAATTGAATGGTAAATACACAAATTTTATGAATTTTTTCAATTTGCCAGATTTTTTTTTGTGCTTTCTTTTAAGAACAAAAAGTTGAAAATTTTTAAGAAATCAATGTTAACTGTATAGTAAATAAAATTCAGGCAGATTTAATCACAAAATGATGGCTCTTTCTCCTTCTAAAGAAAGTGTCGTTTGAATTATTTCGGAATTAAACTCAAAATTCTAATTAATTCATTCATATAGAACAAAAAATTCAAAATAATTCATTGAATTCATTCATGCAGGGCTCTATTAGGAATATAACTAACCACTAACGCAGGCTGGCTGCTTCTCGAAGGCGGTGAGGAAATCGCAGGCCACCTGGGTGAGATCACAGAAGAATAGCTCCGAAATATCCGCATTATTCCTGCGCGCCTCCCTTTGGGCGACCCTCAAACTGACGGCGCAGACTTTCAGTAGCGTAGCGCTCGCCTGCCGATAGCGTCCCATTTCGACTAGGATTTTCAGAGGCCTCTTGGCGGCCCTCAAAGCGATTTGCAGATTGCGATTGTGGCTATTGGACAGCTCCTTGAGCAGCACATTGATCAGCTTCAGCTCCTGCTGCTTCACTTTGGATTCGATGGCCTCCGCCTGGGGAACCTTCTTCCTGCTATCATTCCGCATAAAGTCCTGGGTGCGTTTGATCAGCTCCTGGGCATTCTCAAAGTGCCGCTGGGCCACCAGTGTTTGGATCTCCTCGCTGGCGGTGCTCAGCCACTCGGGCGTCTCATCCTCCAGGGATTTGGGCTCCCCGGGACTCTGGGGAGTGGTCTCCTTCTCCGGCGTCGAGGCTTTCGACTGCTGTTTGGCCCGCGAAGGTGGCTGTGGAGCCTGACCCTTCTTGGGTTTCCCCTTTTGCTGGTCAAAACGGAAGGCTTCCTCGAGCTTTTCGATCCACTCGGTTTTCCCAGCCGCCGTGATGCTTTGGTAGATCTTGGAGCCATCTGGTGTGATGATATTGATGGCATTCTTGACGCCATCCAGGTCTTTGATGTTGATCACGGCTATTTTCTTGGGATCGTACTCGGTGAGGAAGTCCAGGCGTCTGTAGGGGATTTATTTCATTAGTTTCTAGATATATATTTGGTATAGGGAGACCCACTTATCATGCTTGACCTTGCAGACAATCAGCACATCGTTGAAGAGGAAAAAGAAGACCCGCTGAATGGGCCTATAGTCATTGCCATCCAGTTCGATGAGGGCTCCCTCGTTGAGGAAGGTCTTGCCCTCCAGATTGCCATTGAAGCCCTGCACCATTTCTTTTACAGCCCGCGTAGCATGGCTGTTTTCCAGATCCTCCGCCGCCGTCGAGGTGTCCACCTCCAAACTCTCGGCTTTCAGGCGACTCGAGGTCTTTCCATCCGTCATGGTGGCCAGAATGTTGCGCTGCTCAATCAGAATGTGCGACAGTTGATACATTTCCGACTCGAGATCTGTGGTTTGCAGGGGATTAATATAATGAAATTATATAGTTTTTAAGGGGCGTAAACCCACGCGATATCTCCTTGGCCGTCTGTATAAACTCCATGTAGTTCTTCTTGCATGTTTGCTTCAAAGTGGCGGCCGTTGTTTCGTTGTACGCCTCGATTTCCTTTTTTCGCTGCTGCAAATCGCTGCCACCCACGCATTCTCGGGTGAGGTCTTTGGTATCTGGGGAAGGTATACTTGTTTACAGATCTTATAAAGTTAAAAAATATAAGAAAAACTTACATTTCTCTACGCTAAAATTGAAATCGTCAAACTCCTTCATGATTTTAATTGGAATGGTAAACTGCAGCTGACGAAGAACCATTCACAGGGAAACGTGGAAACAAAAATAAGGTGGGTCAACAAACGAAAATACAAGGTTCTCACTTACATTTACTAATAATTTTCAATTATAATATTTTCCAAACAACAAAATGTGATATTTCTAAGCTTATTTTGATAATGAGATATTTATAAGCTTATTTTAAAAAACATGTTTAATTACTGCGGTGTATTTAATAGAAATGGCTTTCTACAGAATATTTTTGTATCATCTATGGCTTAAAATTTAAATCACAATTTAGTAAGATCTTGTATAAATCAATTGATGTAAATTATTTTGCTTTACCAAGTGATTAGAATACAATTAGTGTTCAATTGCGTTGAAATTCAACAACAATTTCTATACAAAAATTTTCAAAAGTAGGCCTTTAAAACTATTTTGTATAGAAATGTTGTGGAAGATAACACTTACACTTTACAAAGTTTGCAACGCAATTGAACACCCTAATTATATTTAATAGTTCTATAATAAATTAATTTTCTTCAACCACCTGTTGCTTTTTCAATTACAAAAAATCACAGCAGTGAGAACACTTCGAGTGCACCGGTACATCTTCTTCTTCCTACTACAACCATTCCCTTAGAAGCGCCAACACGCCTTAACCACCCTACAAACGCACACACCCTGCGTTTATTGTTTTGGTTGATGAGTAATCTTTGAGAATCTCCAAGAAACTTCGTCATTCCTTCGCAATTAGATATTTTACTATAGTAAATCCCCCAAAATGGACTGGCTATTCGGCAAGAAGATCAGCCCCGACGAGATGCTGCGCAAGAACCAGCGGGCGCTGAACAAGGCGATGCGGGACCTGGATCGCGAGCGGATGAAGATGGAGCAGCAGGAGAAGAAGATCATCGCGGACATCAAGAAGATGGCCAAGGAGGGCCAAATGGATGCGGTGAAGATCATGGCCAAGGATCTGGTGCGCACCCGCCGCTACGCCAAGAAATTCATGCTGATGAAGGCCAACATCCAGGCGGTGTCGCTCAAAATCCAGACGCTCAAGTCGCAGAATACCATGGCGCAGGCCATGAAGGGTAACTATTTGTCCTATAAATGATTCACTATCTCATAATCTCATCTTTCAGGCGTCACCAAGGCCATGCAGAACATGAACCGCCAGCTGAATCTCCCGCAAATCCAGAAGATCCTCCAGGACTTTGAGAAGCAGTCGGAGATGATGGACATGAAGGAGGAGATGATCAACGACGCCATCGACGATGCCATGGAGGATGAGGGCGACGAGGAGGAGACGGATGCCGTGGTCTCCCAGGTGCTGGATGAATTGGGTTTGCAGCTGGGCGAGCAGCTGGGAGATCTGCCCTCCGCCTCGGGTTCCCTTTCCATTGCGGGTGGCGTGGCGCAGAAGGGACCGCAGGCGGTGGCCGCTGGCGGAATAGGCGGTGGAGGAGCTGCTGCTGCAGGCGGAGGAGCTGGTGGAGGCGCCACCGGAGGAGCTGGAGCCTCCGGCGGCAGTGGCGCCTCGTCGCCCATGTCCGATGCCGATGCGGATCTGCAGGCGCGCCTGGATAAGCTGCGCAAGGATTGAGCCACCACTGCCTGCCCCTTTTTATATAAGAGAACCCGCAACCACCCGCTGCTCCCGTTTGTATCTCCCAAAAAACTAAGCGAATGTTATATTAAAGAGAATGCTTGTGAAAAATCGATGATTAATTACCAATTACGAGCTGTAATGGGATGTATTAGGTAGTTACCCTAAATTCGCAATACTTGTTACTTTAGCGCTATGCACAAATTCGATATTTTATACATTTCATGCCTGTCTTCAATAAAATTAAGAAAGAGGAACTTTTGTTTATTAAATATGATTAAAATTAGACGTTTTTAGATTGAAAATGTCTTATAAACAGGTAAACTTAAATAACCGATTGTACCTTATCTGGATAAAGAAAAATAAGCTTTTCTTTATAAAATATGATAAATAGCAGAAGTTTTTAGATTGTTAAATTCCATATCTTTAGTTCTTTTAAATAGGTAACTTAAATAACCGATTCTACCTTATCTGGTTAAGAAAAAATAACCTTTTACAGGTGAAAAATGGCAAGAAAAGATAACACTTGTCCACACATCGCAGGTAAATAATCATATTTCAGTGGAACAGGTGTTTTTGTGGAACCCTTTTATTGATTTTAACATTTACTAGCTAAAAAATCATACAATTTCCTTAAATAATTCCTGCGCGGTCTTCAGAATCCTTTTAACCTGATACCAACAAAGTTATGTATACACAGAAAAAAAACCGATGTGAAATAGGGTTATTTCTACCTTATTTTATATCAATAAAAAGCCGATATTCAAACATATCAACATGATATTTTATCATATCATAAAAAATACCAAACTTAGTATTTTTTGAGCAAATAACTTGATCTTAAAAAAATATCAAATTGACCATTACCATTTTTTTTCTGTGTACTTTTTCCATACCCTTATCGCGATGAAGAAAAAGTACCTCTTCCGTTTTACTAATAACAAGCGTATATATTTTTAGGAGGAGTACAAATTGAAGAGTAAAGACAGCACACAAAGATGCTACATGAAATCTAGAAGCCGCTGGCGAGGAACACCCGTTCCACCTCCCCGAAAACGGCATCCGCATCCGGACTGGCATCGATCCTCTTCACCTGGCCGGCGCCCTCGAAGAACTTGATGATGGGCAGCGAATCGTTGTTGTACGTGGAGATGCGCTTCTTCAGGCTCTCCATATTGTCGTCCGTCCGTCCAGTGCCACTCTGGCCACGTCCCAAGCACCGCTGGACGCAGACATCCTCGGAGCAGTCGAAGAAGAGCACGAATTGCATGTCCACCTTCTCGGACATCTGGCGATTCCAGCCATCCAGGTTATCCTGATTGCGCGGGAAGCCGTCGATGAGGAACCTGGACTTTCCCGACGCCTTCATGGCGTTTTCCAGCAGCGAGCACGTGACCTCCACGGGCACAATCTTTCCATTGCGAATGTAATCCTCGATGAGGTTCCCGAACTCGGAGCCCTCGCGGGAACGCTCCTCGCGCAGCAGATCCCCCGCCGACAAATGGGTGAACTGGAAGCGGTCCACTATCTTGGAGCACTGGGTGCCCTTTCCAGCTCCCGGGCCTCCCAAAACGAAGACAACCTTTGGCTTCTCCACTCCACTCATAATGCCGATTTTGTAAGGTGGTTGCTGTTTTGCTTGAGTGGCCTTGGAATGTCGCAACTGCTGGTGCTGCGTCAGCGTTGTGGGTGGGTGTAATTTGGGCAGTATTCCCGCTACTGGTGACCTGTCTGCCGCTCGGAATGCCGTTTGTGCCAAAGCGCGCCACATTGACGAGTGAACGAATGGAAATTTCGGAATATCGGGTGAGCGCGGTGTGTGTGTATTGGGCGCCGCATTCACGTATGCGAAATACACCTCACCACTCAACTTCCACTGGAAACGTAACACTCTGTGACGTCACGCACAAGCGCAGCTGTTCAAAGAGAGCCGGCGCTGGGCAACACTGGCCATGTTGGCGCTTTTATTTGAATGGCACATTTTGTGCAATTTGCTTCCGGTTTTTGGTTTATTACACAGAGAAAAAAAGTCAGAAAATACTATCAAATTGATAATTCCGAACATATGATTTTGTACTATATTGATATGAAATTGTACCATTTTGTTATGGAAAAATTAAACAGTATCCGTTCCATATTGTTCGGTTTTTTTCTATGTGTAATAATATTATATATTATTGCATTTAAAGATTTTGTTTAATTATTTATCTTTCAACCATTTTTGATTTATTTTGTACCCTTTGAAATTAAGAGTTTTTGTAACTCATCGTTCGTCTAGATTAAATATGAAAATATGTAGGGAATTTTAACAATACACATTTCTTAAATTTATTTGTTTATTTTTTCTGTTCTAACTCCAAATTAATGATTGTTATGATGGTTTTTTATGATGATATTCATGATTGATATTAATGATTGTTTTTTAATTCTTTTAGTCTACTTTTAATTTTAAAAAATTGTTTTGTGGAGCAGAACTCAACAAATTTTACACACCTGACGGAACTTTCGAGATTTTCAGATTTTGCTTATGATAAGTTAAAAAATGTTCTACCAACAGCATTTGTTTTTAATTACTTTTTATTATTACGTATATTACCTGCTAAGTAAGCCTATTAAATTAGCTGCGCCTGGTTGTTCTGTATCAAGTCGGCCACCAGTTGGTAGGGAATAATGTGCTGGGAACCGGCGGCCATGTCCACCTCCTCGTCATCGACGCCCACGATCACGGCGGGCACTAAAAGGGGTAATATATAAGTATTTTTATCTTAATTAAGATGGCAAGGGACCATTTACCCGCCACATTTGCCTTGAGGAAGACATGGCTCATCAGATTGGGGGTCACGATCCTCTGCTCGGCCTCTCCTCTCTGCTGATTGGGCATATATTGGGTGGCCACCTTGTGGAAGTACTCATCCACATTGGCGGCAAACTCCTGGGCGAACTTGGTCTCCTCGGGCGAGAGGCGCTTGTCATCCGTCTCGCGACTCGCCTCCTGGTTGAGGATGTGCTGCGTGAAGGTCTCGATCTTCTGGAGGCGACACCGCAGATAGCTAGCCATTATGTAGCGCACCCTCTCCAGTTCCATCGAGTGCACCACCGCCCGGAAGTCGTTCTTGTCCAGGTCGCGCATCTGCTCCTCCATGTGGGCCACCTGGGAGACCATCAGCTCCAGCATGTCCGTCTGGCTGGGCAGGATCTCGGGAGCGCACATCTCGTTGATCCAGGCAGTTTCCAGGATCTCTAGAACCTTTGGGGATTAGGATAAGATTAGTTTTAGGGGTATTCTATGGGGTTTTCTTACCTTTTGAGCCGTGATCTGTTCCATATCGTCGTCATCTTCCTCCTCCAATCCTGCTTCATCGCTCACATCGTTTTCCAGCTGGGTTTCGGGCACATCTTCTATATCCGACATGGTTTTTGGATATTATTTGTTTATTTTGGTAAAGTTTTTGGCGCAATGTTGGCGGTTCTTTGGGAATGGCAGTGTAAACGTTTTGCAACACTAGTTTTATCACTAAAAAAATTAAAATAAAAAATGTATTACTATTTTAAACTAAATAAAATTAAAGATCTTAAAAAAGTAAAACCCTTATTATTATAATTTTTTTCAAAAATACATTAATCTATTCTTGATTTCCTTTGAATGGCAAAACCTGTTGTTAGTTACTCCCTGTGAATGTCTCTACTCCAAACAGCATGGCAGCCGCACAACAAACCGATTTCCAAAAGAATTTCCGCCTGATTGTGGAGAAGATCTTCAACCACTGGCAGGATCTCCGTCTGGCAGTGGAGCATGGCATGGGCGGACGCAATGGCCAGCAGGTGGGTTCATACATACCCCTTACATTGCCTCCCTTCTAACCTAATCTTGATGCTCTGCTTAGGTGGCCATAGAAATCATGGACTACACCTATCAATACTGTGTATCCAATGAAAACATCACCCAGGGTGAGCTGCAGGAGGTGGTGGAGGAGCTGATGGACCAGGAGTTCAATACCCTCTGCGACGACGACTCCATTCCGGAGATTTGCCGCAATCTGCTGCGCTACAAGCTCCTCGCCCAGCAGAATCAGTATCCACAGATCGAGGCTGAATTGAGTAAGCTTCCTGCGGGCAAAGAGTGGCTGCGTCCGGATGTGAAGATCACTTATACTCCTATTGATGGGGATTCCTCCTCCGATGAGGATATGGACGACGATGACGAGGAGGATGATGATGAAATGGAAGAGGATGATGCTCCTTCTAGCAGTGGGCGGATGACCCGTTCGCAGACCCGCAAGCAGCAGGCCCAGGAATTCGTGGAGCCCGAGGATGGCTGGACCACCGTGCGAAGAAAATAGACTTCTTTTGGAATATTAAAAGCAGAAACCTGTTAGTTATTTAATTGTAATACGCTGTATTTACTTCCTGGAGGTCCAGAAAACGCAGTGGTGCTATGGGTTCCCTTGTCACCGGTTGATGGAAGGTCCTGCAAAGGTTGCAATGGACTGGAGAGGACTTTTTAGAGGTGCTATCCTGGTTTTTCCTGCCTCCCTGCAACTGCGACCAGGAGGTGAACTCAGTGCCCTTAGGCAAAACCAATTTGGGATCGACTATAGAGGCTATGGAATCCACATCCACGGTCATGGAGAGATTAATAGCTGGGTAGATGAGGAAGGCAAAGAACCAGGCGAAGACCAGCACCAAAAAGGGCACAAATACAGCGAAATATTTATCGGGCAGATAGGAATGCAGGCCAAATTCCAAAGGCAGCAGGGCCCAAGCCACGTAGACGAAGAACAGGACGGTGAACAGCATATAGAAGGCGAATCCATAGATGGCCCTATGAGGAGTCGGAGCCGGACTGTGTTCCGGCATCGTTTTCTGCTTCGTTTCTCTCGGGGATTGGCTTCTCCTCTTGGGAATCCCCGCCAAACTCCTTGATGGTGTCCTGGCAGAGGAGCAGACCCTCGAAAAACGAGGTAATGGCGGTGCGCAGGCTCTTCACTTGGTCGGCTTGGAAGTGGACGACCAGGACATCGCCATCCAAACTCAAAGTTTTCTGCACGAAATTCCGACGGGGTTCTTGGTCGACATTCAGCACTCGGTAGGCAATCTCCGCAAGGCGTGGCGTCTCAAACGGCACTCTTATTGTGCTGGTAGATAAAATATTGCTTAATTTATGTAGATTTTATGTTAAATTATATTTAAACTTACGATTCATTTAGTTTATAAGATATTTGAGGCATCATAAAATGTTTTTAACCAATTTGCAGTGACATGTCAGCGGAGAAAGTGAATGGCAAAGGTAAATGAAGAAGAAGAAGCAAATGCCGCTTGTTTACCTCAAAAACAGCTGTTTACAAAAACAAATGTGATTATTAAAAAATTAAAGACTACAAGGAATATAAAAGGCCTATTATTAACTTAAAAATACTATTAATTAGTCTAAAAATATAAAGCAATCGATGCAGAAATTTATTGTGTAAACAATTTCTAATAAAAACGATTTAGCATGGGTTAATTTTAGTTTTTATCTTTCAGATTTTCTTCAATATTTGTATAAAAATATATAAGATTTTTTGAAAAATTAAAAATTGCAGAGAAATTAGAAGGTTTATTATTAACTTAAAAATACTATTAATTAATCTATAAATAAAAGCAATCGGTGCGGAAATGTATCTAATAAACAACTAATAAAACCGATTTAGCATAGGCTAGTTTTTAGTTTTTCTTTCAGATTTTCTTAAATATTTGTATAAAAAATCGCCCTTTTGATATTTCCTAAAATTTTAAAATTTCTATTGAAAAAAATTGAGTTTTTAGCTATCTACTGCAGTATTACCAAGTTCGAAACAAAGTTAAACTTGATAGTTTGAATCACTCTTAATTGCCGATTAAAACGTAGTGTTAACCAGTCCAGTTTGTAGTTTCTTTATTACAAAAAGTAGTCAAAAATCAGATCCCTTTGTTTAGTTGGTTTACTTCTTGGACTTGACGACTCCCTTGGGGGCGGGCTTCTTGCCGGCGACCTTGGCTCCGGGCTTTCCGCCGGCGGACTTGCCCACTGGCTTCTTGGCGGCCGCCTTGGCCTTCGCCGGCTTCTTCTCCACCACCTTCTTGACGGGCTTGACCAGCGCCTCGCGCTGGCTCTTCAGCGCCTTGACGATCTTCTGCTCCTCGATGAGGAAGGCGCGAACGATGCGCTCGCGCAGGCAGCCGTGGCACAGGACTCCGCCGTAGGTCCTGGAAACGGTCTTCAGGCGCTTGGACATCCTGGGACGCTCGCTGGGCCTCGAGGGCGTGATGCCGTGGAGCTTCTCCTTGCACTGACCGCAGCGTGGAACAGTGGGGTTCTTCTTCACGTACTGGTACACCAGACGGCCTCCGGGAGTGCGCACACTATATAGAAAATGGGATATATCCTTTAGTAACTCTGGCAATCTATTATAATATACGATACTCACATGCGCCTCTTGTTGGAGCGGGTGTTGTACGACAGACGTCGCCTCAGAGTCAAACGCTGCACCATTTTCAGGCTACTGGTTCCATATTATCATCCAGAACATTCATTTTTCCCAAACAAATCATGGAAAATACCAAAAAACAAAGAGATAATAGCATAAGTGGTTTGTCGGTGCATAGTTTTCATATTTCTGCAGCTTTGTACAAGCATTTTAAACGGTTTTTGCCATCAAAATAGCTATAAAAATTAAAAAACAGACCTTTCCGGAAATCAAAAGAAGGAAGAAGAGAAGCTAGAGCTGGGGCAAAAAGCGATTATTATTAAAAACTATCGATACTCGTAGAAACATTCATCACTATTAGTTTTTACTTGACCATAAAAACAAAAACTGGTTTAAAAAAGATTAGTTTTTGAGTAAATCTTCTAAAACTTAAAATTAATTAACATTAGGAAAAAGAAAATTTAAAAAAAAAAAAAAAAAATTTAAAAAAAAAAGAACCCAAAATGGTTCCTGTTAATTTCAAACACTGTTATTTGTAAAAATTTCACGGAACTTAAGCAAAACTTAAAACTTAATTAATTGCAAGTTAGTCTAAAAAGCTACCAATATAAAAATAACCACAAATATCATTTTTTTTTTAAAAAAAAATAATTTTTTAAAAAAGTGCAGCCCTTTAGTAAAACATAATCGATAGCCCCGTGTTGATTGCTGAAATCGGAACTTGACCTATGGACTGCTAATTCGATTAAACAACGCGCTTATTTTGAATAAAATAAACGCGAGTTCCATCTTCTTAAAAGTTTTTGTAAATAATCGCGAGTTTCTTTAGTTTTTGACTAAAAACATGAGTTTTCTGAAACCCAAGAGCCACATAGAGAAGGGCGATGTGGTTATCCTATACTTGAGTGTTAGTTCCATGCATGCCATCGAAGCGGTTCCCGAAATAGTCAATAAAAAGGGGGAAACGATACCGCACATCTTTCAGACAAACTATGGATCGCTAAAAGTGGAAAGTGAGTTTAAAGATCCCCAGTTTCTGAACTTGTTCTATAAGAAATCCCTATTACAGATATAATAGGCGTGGAGTATGGAAGCAAAGTGGAGCTCTCCAAGGGTTGGGCCCATGTCCTTCAGCCCACGCCGGAATTGTGGACCCAAACGCTTCCTCATCGCACCCAGATTATCTACACCCCGGATATCAGCATGATAATCCATCAGCTGGAGGTTCATCCCGGTGCGGTGGTCATTGAATCGGGCACAGGATCGGGTTCCCTATCCCATTACTTCCTGAGGGCCCTGAAACCCACCGGCCACCTGCACACCTTCGATTTCCACGAGGCTCGAGCGGATCAGGCACGCGACGAGTTCCGGCGACACGGAATCGCCGACTTTGTCACCGTCTACCATCGGGATGTCTGCAATCTGGGCTTCGGCGAGGAGCTCGACGGAAAGGCCGATGCGGTCTTCTTGGATCTGCCCGCACCCGATCTCGCCGTGCCGCACGCCTTCAAGGCGTTGAAGCTGTCCGGTGAGTGGCCAACATCGCGTTGACAACTAGTTGTCAGCGCCCTTTTGCGGCCACAGGCAATCCGGCAATCAGGCGGATATGTCGGGTTGCTAGTGGTGACAGGGTACATGTTGGGTATAGCTGGGTTAGGTACAATATCCTGGGTACCTAGGGAAGTACGTAAGAAAGACCAGAAAATCGGTTAGAACACAGAAAAAATCTGAATTCGTGGTACTCCCTAGTTCAAAATCCATAAAAAAATGTGTATTTCAATTAAACCCAATTTTTTGGTACTTTTTATCATTATTTATTTTACTTATTTACATTAATTATTTATTAACTTAGAAAGACCTAAAAAATTATTTAGAATATTATTTAACTGAACATGCCCTCTTTCAATAATTTATGTACCATTTTTTTAAGTCATTTATTAGAAAAAGATTTATCACAACGCAGATGGGAAACGAAGGAGAGGGCGAAGGGACATATAAACGAAGAAATGAAAACACGGATGGTGATAAAGAATGATACACTATGAAGGTATGCAAATAACAGGATTGCATACCAAGACTCTAAGAAAATCAATTGGCTGGGAGAGACGGTGAAAGTGAAAAGTAAAATTCGAAATTGGAGCTGTGGGCGGTGGGGATAATTGCGCAATATTACTGTATTCCTTGAAAATACCGTTGAAGGTCGTTTGTAAAACGAAAAGTTATAGCAAAATAAGATTTTCTCGTCTTCCCAAAAAAAATTTAATTCGTTTGTCAGTTGCAGTTTGTCAGTTTGTCAGTTTGTCAGTTGTCAAAACATGTTTTTAAGTTTGAAAATTTATATGACGTCACACCTATAAAAAACTTTCCAACTAAAAAGCTAAATAAAGCCAACACACAAACAAGACGTGCTGATATTTTTAAATGCTATAAAGCATATATGCAATTGTGTAAATGTAATAATTAAAAATATGACAAAAACAATTTTAAAACTTTAGCTTTTTTAAAACGGCTCAACGATTTTCTTAAAACCTAAACGTAAGCCCAGATTCTAAATTTGTATATAACACATTACTGTAAAAGTCACGTTTAAAAGTTATTTTAAAAAAACCACTTCAACAATTAAGCAGTATTGAATTGGAGGGTATGAATGTACTACATGGAATCAGTAAATTTGCACTTAAGAGTTCCATATAGGAATCTTTTGTTCTACGACTTTGGAAAAAGCCGCTACTTTAGCGGGAAAAAGCTAAAAATAGCTAAATTTCGTTAGTTTGTAAGTTCCACACTAAAGGTACAAACATGTGCTATACCCGTTTAAAAGGTATTTTGAAATACTTCAACGCCTTTTAACTTAACTTGTTAAAATACAATAGTTTAAAAATTATGATTGACCAATTTAAATTTAAATGTATATATTAGCTCCTATGAGAGCAAATGTAAACAAACAAAAACTTCTGATATCAAATAAAAACACCTCTTAACGAGGTAAAAAACGTGAACGCACCTCAACATACAAAAGTTCTGATATCAACATTTGTGACGAAAAATTATTACACTCGTCATTAACCATAGAAAATGCCTGTGAAGGAAAAATGCTGGAATAGTTTGCTAGGGCGGGCCGAATGAGAAAATATTAGAAAGTCTATTTAATGACGAGTGTAATAATTTTTCGTCACAAATGTTGATATCAGAACTTTTGTATGTTGAAGGTGCGGTCGTCACTAGTTTTTTACCTCGTTAAGAGGTGTTTTTATTTGATATTCTTTATTTTAAAGATTGATAGATACTCCAAAAGTGTTTTTAATGTACCTAGTCAAGAAAATATATTAAAAAATACCTATATAACCCAACACTGTCGGTCAGTAATTTGTATTTCAATTAAACCCAATTTTTGGTACTTTTTATCAAAATTACTTTAAATATTTATAATATTATTTAATGGAACATGCCCTGCTTTCAATAACTTATTTACCATTTTTTTTAAGTCATTTATAAAAAAAGGATTTACATTCTTTATTTTTAAGGAAGACAGATATTCCAAAAGAGTTTTTAATGTACCTAATCAAGAAAATATATTCTAAAATACCTATATAACCCAACACTGTCGGTCAGTCAGTCAGTTATCCATCCAGCGAGCCAAAGATCCAGTCAGCTAGTCAGTCGGGCTGCCATTTCACCGTGTTTGACATTGAATGAGCCCGCTTTTGACACTTGATGCGGCCAAGGCAGGCTGACCGGGTGAGTTTGTCATTAGGCGGATGGGAACTTCAATTGTTCAGCAGGTTTTGGACCGGAGCTAGGGAACTGCTGCTTAAATTGGAAGGCAACATCTATACAAAGGCAGTTAGGGAAAGTTGAGGTTGGAAATACAAAGTTGCAAATTTAAATATTTAAAAATATATTTTATACATATTATATTTATTTATAATCTAAGCAAAACCCTCTGTAAACCTGATTTCCCTTCCCTTTTTCCACAGGCGGCCGCTTTTGTTCGTTTTCGCCCTGCATTGAGCAGTCGCAGCGCTGCATCCAGGAGCTGACCAAGCTGGGCTTCAACGAGATTGTCTCCCTGGAGGTTTTGCAGCAGGAGAATGTGGTCAAGACCCGCACGCTGCCCGTCATCGATCTGGAGTTCCTTAAACTGCCCAAAACCGATGAAGCGACCACCAATGTTGAGGAAAGCAAGGCGTCCAAGGAGGTGAAGAAGTACCTGACCTCCAGCAATCCCCAAACGCTGCCCGGCCACACGGGCTTCCTCACCTTTGCCACCCTGCCACCGAATATACCCAAGGCCTGATGAATAAACTTGAATTTCTTTTTATTTGACCCACAAACCACGAGCTTCATCATTCGTCGTAGGAGTAAGAGTAGGAGAATTCCTCGAAGAACTTGCGTTCGCTGGTCCTTACGAATCCGCAGTGGTAGCAACGCCGCTGCTTCTCTTGCTCCTGGGTCTTTCGGTTCCAGGACTTCCGTTCCGGCGCCCAGGGAGTCCGCTGCTCGGGAATGGCCACCTCGGTGCGTTCCGGATTGCCGCTGCAGGTGGGACACCGACCCACCACCGTTGGTTTGGGCAGCATGCCGTAGATGAGCGGTCCCGGCGGTTGTTTCCCGTAAATGGTGACGATTTCCGGGAGACTCGAGTACGGGCGGGTGGGAAAGAGCTTCTCGCGATTCAGAAAACTGACATAAGGATAAAAAAGACTGTTGGTTAGCTTCGGAGATACAGATTTTTTAAAGTTTAGATATTTATTTAGATTATTTTACAGTTAAATAAGTGTAAAAAATATCAAAAAAAGGAAAATGATGATAACTTAATTAATTATGAGAACAATACTAATGTGGGATATAAAACAAAAGTAGCCAATATATTCTGATCAGCCATTTTAATGAATGTTATGAATAGCATATTAATCCTTTATGTAGTTATTTTTTAAAAAATAGTTATATAATGATGAAGTAAGTTTAGTATTAAATTGCTGGAAAATCCGAGAAAGAGTCAACATTTTAATTAAATCCATTGAATCCAGAGAACGTATAAATAGTAGTTCGAAAAACCAAACAGCAATAAGTAATTAAAAATGTGTCTGATTGGTTACAATT